AACGCGGAGGCTCTCTCTTTTCGCCCTCTTTTTTCCCCCTCTCTTTCTCCCTCTTGCCCCTTTCGCCGATCCAGGGAACACAATGATTTCATCGAATGACTTCTTCGTCGATCCTATCCGAATTGTCGTGTACGCGTTACCCTCCAAAGGTAATGGTAAAAACGACACGCGCCGAAAAGGGTTTCATTCGCGAGAAATGTGAAAATCACTGTACAAAAGATTCTCGAAACCGCGCGACAAAGTTATACGGATGAAAGAGAGAGATCGCGGAAGCACCGTGATTCCGTTTGTTTTATCCTGTACAAGTATGCGTGCGAGTGTGCAGGTACGTCGCACTCCGTTACGACTATGCAGAGTTCCGCGAACGATGTTTTCGGAAAACACTTTGATCGGCGATCGCTATAAATTTAAACGAATCGGCCAACCGCGATCGTTGTTGGAAAAAGAAAGGGTATTTCAAACTAATCTCGGACGTTGAAACGATCCATGCACGGACACTGGTACACTTGGGTGTTAAAGCATTCGCGGCGATCGTACCGCAAAGTCCAAACACGCTCGAAAGTTGAAAGGTTGTCGAATATTCGTCGAGTCCGAAGGGCGCGTAAATTGAACGTTTAAATGTTCGATTCCGGAAACGGGACGAGTCGATAGCAATGAAAACAACCAATCGCCATCTTGTTTGGTCGACAATTGAATCTCGAAACACTATCGAATCAGAGGTCTACGGCGCGATACGTGAGTGCTCTGTGTTTGTGTGCTTCTCGCGGAACGAAGCTCTCGAAATATGACTCAAGAAGGCCAGTAAGTATATCGAAATATACAGAAGAATTACTCCGGGTTTATTCCTCGACTCCTAAATTTCATCCCTTCTCTGTTACAACGAACAAACCAGTAGATATTTACTGAAATTGCTGAAATGCCGCCCCGTGGCTCGAAACACCGCCATGTTGTGAAACGACTTTATTGATTCTCGAAATTTCTAGAAAAGAATCCTAACAAATTTCCTTGGATTTTGCTCTCTCGGCAATTTAGCACGTTTCCCCGGTTTATCTTCGACGTATAATTCATAATCGACAGTAAACATCCTCCCATGTTCTACCCTTTCCAGTATATCGCTCTCGATCAAACTGGCTTCCATAAACTTTTAATAGCTTGTATTTCTAAGCAACTATTTACCGATATTTCCGACAAAAAGAATGCCTTTCGATTTCATGTTATTTCTCGAGGTGCATTCGTCGAGGCTCGATTACTCTTACTTTCTTCCATTGTCAACCACCAATGGTGTGTACTTTTATCTGTAATGACTAGTGGTTTTGCTCGGAAACCATAGAACTTTATTTCTAACCTTTACAAGCACACACTTTACCTTTACCGCGTTATCCTCTGTAGAATCTGTGTCTGCTCGTTCGATCGTTTATCCTAGAGAATTCCGTTTCGTTTACCAAGTCGACTAAAACAATCGTTCGAGGCTATTCACCGATATTTGCACCTTAAAGAAAACTCTAATACCCGATATCTCGTCACGTGTTACAACGAGAATATCTATCGTCTGTAAAAATATCTAGCCGATGCAAATAATATATGAAATTTCACAGGAACTCCTTTCAACCTTACGCCAATTATACTCGGATTCCTCCAAATTAACCTTTTAATCGTCGATTTCACAAGAAAATTATCACCCATCGATTACTTTAGCGTTTCTGTTTCTTCCTCAGATTGCCTCCTCCACCTGTTATGTGGGCTCAGAGAAGAGATATTTTATATGTAACCATCTGCTTAGAAGACTGTAAAGATCCAGTTATTGAAATTGAACCAGAAATGATATATTTTAAGGGAGTCGGCGGAACGGAAAAGAAAATGCATGAACTTACAATTAATCTCTATAATGAAATTCTTCCAAACAAAACAGTTAAAAACTTGAGAGGAAGGACTTTCGAGTTAGTTCTTACTAAAAAAGAAGAAGGCCCGTATTGGCCAAGATTAACAAAGGAAAAGACAAAAGCTCATTGGTTAAAGAGCGACTTCAATAAATGGAAGGATGAAGATGATAGCGACGACGAGAGTGGCATGGGAGGAAGTAACAACTTGGAAGAAGTATGAAAATTTTTAGTTTTATTCCAGTTAACCGTACAAAATAGAAATATTCCTTGTAATTTATATTTCGCTCTCCGTTAATGCTTGCAGATGATGAGACAAATGGGTGGCTTGGGTGGCTCGGGAGGCAGTAAGCCGTACTTTGATGATAATTCTGAGGATATAGGAGAAGAAGGCGAAGGAATTGATAGCGACGATGAAGATTTACCTGATCTGATCTGATCGAGTGAACAAATTTTAATGCCACTTTAAACTAATCTTCATTCAAAAAACGTTAAAAATAAAAAAAGGGCGACCTAAGAATAGTGCACCACCAGGCGATATTTCAGTAGGCCATGCTATTTGTATTTTCAATTGCAAATAAGTTTTGCAAACTTGCTGACGGCCCGTGATGCAGTAGCAAAGAAATCGATAAGGTGTGCAAGGAACTGTAAACAGGAAAAGAATACAGTGGTCAAAGGAATGAACAGTAATATACTTTTTAAAAATTCTCCAATCTTTTAGTCTGTAGTTCATGTACTAAGTTATAATGGACAAGCTTTTTTTTTAATAACGATTACTTGTGTAAAAGATGAAGGAGATGAAATAATGAAAATGATTTAAATTATTTA